ACAGTATAGCGATATTTCGTACATCAAAAACGTATGCATCATATTGAAAAGTTAAAGCACAATAAAACTTGTCTTTCAGGCCAGAAGTGCAAGCACAGTCAGTTCAGCTGTCTGAAATATCCTAATGTCTCGCCACACAGGCTGTCTCGCCACTGCGGACAACGCCCTAAATAAACTATTTCATAACAATAAATTTCTTCTAGATAATGAAATCTTTTATAATTAACAATTAAAAATTAATTAAAATTTTTTGCAGTTTTCAGAGTTTGACGCTTTCATTGTTAGAATTGAAATTGTGTTTGGGCTTTCTGACCACAAATTTGTTATATAAAATAAAATCTTTTATAAATAATAATTAAAAATTAAATAAAGACTTATAAAATGCGTGATGGTGATCTCGCCCCAAGTGTATGTATTAACATAAAAATATAATAACTCTTAAAACACTTAAAAAATTGCAAAATAAACCACACCATCACATTCAGAGGGTCGATTCCGTAACTTTCCCACATCCCACATCCCACATCCCACTTCTCACTTCCCACTTCCCACATCCCACTTTCCCACATCTCACTTCCCACATCCCACTTTCCCACATCTCACTTCCCACATCTCACTTCCCACTTTCCCTCATCTCACTTCCCACATCTCACTTCCAACTTCCTACTTTCTTACTTTTTCACATTTTCAATTTCTCACTATCCACTTTTTCTTTTTCTACTTCCCACTTCCTACTTTCCCACTTTTTTACTTTCTCATTATCCACTTTCTCACTTTTCCACTTTATATTTTTCACTTTCCACTTCCCACATCCCACTTTCCCACATCTCACTTCCCACTTACCCACATCTCACTTCCCACATCCCACTTTTTCATATCTCACTTCCCACTTACCCACATCTCACTTCCCACTTCCCACTTTCCCTCATCTCACTTCCAACTTCCTACTTTCTTACTTTTTCACATTTTCAATTTCTCACTGTCCACTTTTTCTTTTTCTACTTCCCACTTCCTACTTTCCCACTTTTTTACTTTCTCATTATCCACTTTCCACTTTCTCACTTTTCCACTTCATATTTTTCACTTTCCACTTTCCCATTTCCCACTTCCTCACATTTCTACTTTCTCACTTTCTACTTCACAAATCCTACTTTCCCACCTTTTAATATTTCCACTTTCTCAGTTTCTCACTTTTTCACTTTCTCACTTCCCATTTTCCACTTCCCACTTTCCCATTTCCTAATTTCCCACTTTTTCACTTTCCCATTTCCCACTTCCAAATTTCTTACTTTTTTACATTTCCACGTTCTCACTTTCTACTTCCCACATCCTACTTTTAATATTTCCACTTTCTCACTTCCCATTTTTCACTTCCCACTTTCTCATTTTTCTACTTTCCCATTTCCCACTTCCAAATTTCTCACTTTTTTACATTTCCATTTTCTCACTTTCTACTTCCCATTTTTCACTTTCCACTTTCTCACATCCTATTTTCCACTTTCCATTTTCTAACTTTTTCACTTTTTCATTTTTCTCCTTTATCACTATCCACTTTCTCACTTTCTATTTCCAACTTTCTCATTTCACGCCTTTTGTAATAATTTTGACTATATCCTATTTAAAAGTTTCTAGATATGCACAGAAATTACAAATTCCTTAGGTTTTGCTTTGTAAGTAAACAAAATTACTTTTTATTTTTTTCCAATTACATAAAACTGATTTTTATTATAAATTAAAAGTTTTTTTATTGCTTTTGGAATACAATTTTTGTAAACATAATATTTGCAAACTGATTAAAAAAAACATGGACTGTAAACGAAATTTTAACGAATTTTTTCTGCGTACAATATTCTTGAATTCTTGTCTTAGGTTTTAGATTTTATTTTTTTAAATTATCTCTAATTTCTTGCATAACAAATAGTTTTTTCATTTCTACGTCTTGAATAAATTTATAATGCTCTGTTAGTATTTTTAATTTTTTCTGTTTGTAAATTGAAATTTCCTCTCTGTTTCTTTTTCTTTCCAATAAGTCCTCTCTATTTAATTTAATGAAAAAAATCAATTTTCTTTTACGAAAAGCTGCATAAGTAAATTACAATTACCTTTTTTTTGATAAATAGTTTTGTAAAGTAAAAATTCAAAGAAGAATTCTGAGGGTGCATGGAATTATTTTGTTTATCTTATTCTCTGTAAACTGAGAATCACAAACAGGTACCCCGTTTTTTAATTTTCCAAAATACTATTTTTGGTTACAGTAATTTTAAAATTATTTTTATACCGTAATCAACTTTTGATGCTTTTGTTTGTTTCATTTCCTACCCAATTTTCGGTTTCTCTGAGTTTCCAAATTCTTTTTCAAATTCTTTGAAATATCGATTCTTTTTCTCTCCTATAGTTTCTTTGACAATTTCACCAGATTTCTTTCTTATTGTCAGAGGTTTTTCTTTTTCAACTTTTCTTTTATCTTCCTTTTCTTTTTTCACATCCACTTTTTCTTCATCATCATAATTACTATCAGTGTTTTTATAATCATGACTATCCTCTTCTTCAACTTCTTCTTCCTCAGAATCAGTTAAAGCGATTTCTACAAATGAAAATATTTTTATACCTTATACAGTTAAGTTGCTGCTTTTAATAATTGTTTCTCAATAACTCTTATCAAATGTCTTAGGATCTTTATTTCCATATTTATAATCGTTCCAGAAATATTTTATTTGCATTAAATTTCCTATCTTCTCAACTAATATTATTTATTAAACACTTTGCGCTCACCATTTTTCACGCTAAAGTTCATTAAATCACTTTTTTGAATCAGATAATCCAAATCCTTGACTTCAATTTTTTCTTCGTCATTTCTACGTTCATCGATCCTTTTCTTTTCATTTATTTGCTCCTATATTATATTTAAAATTAAGTTGAATTTAAAACATAACAATCTATATACACTTAAAAACAAGTTCTTCAATATTTTTAGAGAATTTAAAACTAAAATCATAAGGTGAAACAAATTATTGGGTAATATTAAAATTATTTTGATTGAAATCATTTTATATATATATATAATAAATTAGTAAAAATAATAAACTAATAAATATAATGATAAAATAAATAATAAAAATGAACAAAAATACACCTAAATAATTTTTTAAAATACAATTTTTTTTAATTTTTTAATAAACAAATATATTTTTAAATTTAAAAAAAATTAAAAAGAATATTTTTCTTTGACAATATAAAAATGCAGAAATTTTATTGATTTTAAATCAAAAGCAAGCAAAATGTGTTCGTTTTCAATTGATATGGATTGAAATAGAATTTACTGGTCAAAAAATATAATAGAATAACCTTCTTCGTTTTTCCAGCAAATAAATCTTTTTTCGATGTGTTACCAAAACCTCCTTCCTTAATATCAGTACCAAACTTTACATTCGGAATGAAATTATCCAATAGTATTTTTTCCAAATCTGATAATTTTTTTGTTTTGCGTTCTCCTTTTTCCTCTTGATCATTTATAGCATCTACTTTTTGGGTGGTGTAGATTTTCCAATCATTCCATGACTATTTTTTATAAATCATTAATGCAAATTGAAAATTTTTTATAAATCAATGATAATTAAATGCATTTATTATTTTCCTAATTAATAACACTTTCTAAATCAATTAATTTAAAAAATCGAATAAAATAAGAAAATAAATAAATGATGATAATTATAATAAAGATTAGATTTTTTAAAAATAATCAAATCAAAAGAAATATACATAGTAAAATTATAGAAAATATAAAATTATAAATTATTTAGTAATTTTTATATTAATGAGTTTAAAAATTTAGCATTTAGAAATGTCATTCCTTTAATTCAGCTTGTTTAAAATTGAAAAACGAGTTGAAAAAATTTATAATTTTTTCTTTTGTTTATTCCGATTTTAAATATATAGCAAAACTAAAAATAACAGACTATTTAAAAATTGTGAATTTAATTTAAAACTAGCGATGTATTTCTCGCACGCTAACGCACGCTCGGTTAAAATTGTACTTATTGTTGTTTACTTATTGTAGTTTATGTATATTATATATATAATTTATATTTTAAATTAATATCTTATTAATATTGTATAAAATTTATCTTAATTTTGATCAGTTTCATTGAAGGATGAAATGACAATTGTTAAATATTAGATTTTTTTTATTATAATTATGACAACAATATTAATTATATTATATTATAATATATTTTTTTTATCTTAAATTATATTATATTATATTATATTGATGTAAATTGTCCCACAAACACATGTAGATTTTGTAAATTTTTGAGAAAAATATTCGTAATAAATCGAAATACTTTTTAAAATATCGGTTTTTATTTTTATTATCTATAGTAAACCGTTATAAAGAGATTCTTGTTTGATTTTACATATATTACTAGATCTCCGGAATAATGATGTATTTGAATTAAATAATGATGTTGTTAAACGAATGACAGGTGAACCTAGAGAATATTTAAGTAAAGATTCATCTGAAGAAGATGAAAAGTGTGACACAATAACTAACTTAATACCAATTGAAGTATTAAATAGTTTAACTCCAAATGGACTTCCTCCTCACAAATTAATATTAAAGATTGGTGCAATTGTGATACTTTTAAGGAATATTAATTTAGAAAGAGGTCTTTGTAATGGAACAAGACTAAAAGTTATTAAAATGGGTAGTTTTTCTATTCATGCACAAGTAATAACGCGAAATTATAAAAATGAGATTGTAATTTTGCCACGAATTACATCACTCATATAAAACTAAATTATAAAAAATTAATTTAAAAATTAATAAGAAATAAAACAACTTACGAAAATTGCAGAATGGATGCCATAAATAAGTTAAAACATATTATAACTTTACATTATTGTAAATGAAAATTAAGTATTAAAAATAAAAAAATCAATATTTTTCTAAGTCCCTAATTTTTTTGGACTTATAAAAAAAAAATAGTTTGTAAGATTTTCTAACAGCATATATGCAAAGTATTTTGATTTATTTGAAAATAATTGAAAATAGATTTTTCAAGGACAGTGTCGAGGTCACGGGGTCGGTGTCGTTTTTCGAAATTTGTTAACTTAATATAATAGAAGATGTTTCGTTTTAAATTAAGAAATGTTAAAATTATTAAGTTAAAAAAATTTGATTTTAATGACACTTACAATAAGACACAATATTATAGGTTACTAACTAAAAATTGAAAAAACTACAATAAATAATAAAAAATAATAATAAAAAATTGAAAAAATCAAAAAATTCTTAAAAAATTGCAAAATAACCCTTTTTCGGGTTAAAATTGAAAAAAGATGTTACATAAAAATAGTTTGTAAGATTTTCTAACAGCATATATGCAAAGTATTTTGATTTATTTGAAAATAATTGAAAATAGATTTTTCAAGGACGGTGTCGAGGTCACGGGGTCGGTGTCGTTTTTCGAAATTTGTTAACTTAATATAATAGAAGATGTTTCGTTTTAAATTAAGAAATGTTAAAATTATTAAGTTAAAAACATTTGATTTTAATGACACTTAAAATAAGACACAATATTATAGGTTACTAACTAAAAATTGAAAAAACTACAATAAATAATAAAAAATAATAATAAAAAATTGAAAAAATCAAAAAATTCTTAAAAAATTGAAAATAACCCTTTTTCGGGTTAAAATTGCAAAAAGATGTTACATAAAAATAGTTTGTAAGATTTTCTAACAGCATATATGCAAAGTATTTTGATTTATTTGAAAATAATTGAAAATAGATTTTTCAAGGACGGTGTCGAGGTCACGGGGTCGGTGTCGTTTTTCGAAATTTGTTAACTTAATATAATAGAAGATGTTTCATTTTAAATTAAGAAATGATAAAATTATTAAGTTAAAAACATTTGATTTTAATGACACTTAAAATTAGACACAATATCATAGGTTACTAACTAAAAATTGAAAAAACAACAATAAATAATAAAAAATAATAATAAAAAATTGAAAAAATCAAAAAATTCTAAAAAAATTGCAAAATAACCCTTTTTCGGGTTAAAATTGCAAAATAACCCTTTTTCGGGTTAAAATTGAAAAAAGATGTTACATAAAAATAGTTTGTAAGATTTTCTAACAGCATATATGCAAAGTATTTTGATTTATTTGGAAATAATTGAAAATAAATTTTTCAAGGACGGTGTCGAGGTCACGGGGTCAGTGTCGTTTTTCAAAATTTGTTAACTTAATATAATAGAAGATGTTTCGTTTTAAATTAAGAAATGTTAAAATTATTAAGTTAAAAACATTTGATTTTAATGACACTTAAAATTAGACACAATATTATAGGTTACTAACTAAAAATTGAAAAAACTACAATAAATAATAAAAAATAATAATAAAAAATTGAAAAAATCAAAAAATTCTTAAAAAATTGCAAAATAACCCTTTTTCGGGTTAAAATTGCAAAAAGATGTTACATAAAAATAGTTTGTAAGATTTTCTAACAGCATATATGCAAAGTATTTTGATTTATTTGAAAATAATTGAAAATAGATTTTTCAAGGACGGTGTCGAGGTCACGGGGTCGGTGTCGTTTTTCGAAATTTGTTAACTTAATATAATAGAAGATGTTTCATTTTAAATTAAGAAATGATAAAATTATTAAGTTAAAAACATTTGATTTTAATGACACTTAAAATTAGACACAATATCATAGGTTACTAACTAAAAATTGAAAAAACAACAATAAATAATAAAAAATAATAATAAAAAATTGAAAAAATCAAAAAATTCTAAAAAAATTGCAAAATAACCCTTTTTCGGGTTAAAATTGCAAAATAACCCTTTTTCGGGTTAAAATTGAAAAAAGATGTTACATAAAAATAGTTTGTAAGATTTTCTAACAGCATATATGCAAAGTATTTTGATTTATTTGGAAATAATTGAAAATAAATTTTTCAAGGACGGTGTCGAGGTCACGGGGTCGGTGTCGTTTTTCAAAATTTGTTAACTTAATATAATAGAAGATGTTTCGTTTTAAATTAAGAAATGTTAAAATTATTAAGTTAAAAACATTTGATTTTAATGACACTTAAAATTAGACACAATATTATAGGTTACTAACTAAAAATTGAAAAAACTACAATAAATAATAAAAAATAATAATAAAAAATTGAAAAAATCAAAAAATTCTTAAAAAATTGCAAAATAACCCTTTTTCGGGTTAAAATTGCAAAAAGATGTTACATAAAAATAGTTTGTAAGATTTTCTAACAGCATATATGCAAAGTATTTTGATTTATTTGAAAATAATTGAAAATAGATTTTTCAAGGACGGTGTCGAGGTCACGGGGTCGGTGTCGTTTTTCGAAATTTGTTAACTTAATATAATAGAAGATGTTTCGTTTTAAATTAAGAAATGTTAAAATTATTAAGTTAAAAACATTTGATTTTAATGACACTTAAAATTAAACACAATATTATAGGTTACTAACTAAAATTTGAAAAAACAACAATAAATAATAAAAAATTGAAAAAATTAAAAAATTCTTAAAAAATTGCAAAATAACCCTTTTTCGGGTTAAAATTGCAAAAAGATGTTACATAAAAATAGTTTGTAAGATTTTCTAACAGCATATATGCAAAGTATTTTGATTTATTTGAAAATAATTGAAAATAGATTTTTCAAGGACGGTGTCGAGGTCACGGGGTCGGTGTCGTTTTTCGAAATTTGTTAACTTAATATAATAGAAGATGTTTCGTTTTAAATTAAGAAATGTTAAAATTATTAAGTTAAAAACATTTGATTTTAATGACACTTAAAATAAGACACAATATTATAGGTTACTAACTAAAAATTGAAAAAACTACAATAAATAATAAAAAATAATAATAAAAAATTGAAAAAATCAAAAAATTCTTAAAAAATTGAAAATAACCCTTTTTCGGGTTAAAATTGCAAAAAGATGTTACATAAAAATAGTTTGTAAGATTTTCTAACAGCATATATGCAAAGTATTTTGATTTATTTGGAAATAATTGAAAATAAATTTTTCAAGGACGGTGTCAAGGTCACGGGGTCGGTGTCGTTTTTCGAAATTTGTTAACTTAATATAATAGAAGATGTTTCGTTTTAAATTAAGAAATGTTAAAATTATTAAGTTAAAAACATTTGATTTTAATGACACTTAAAATTAGACACAATATTATAGGTTACTAACTAAAAATTGAAAAAACTACAATAAATAATAAAAAATAATAATAAAAAATTGAAAAAATCAAAAAATTCTTAAAAAATTGCAAAATAACCCTTTTTCGGGTTAAAATTGCAAAAAGATGTTACATAAAAATAGTTTGTAAGATTTTCTAACAGCATATATGCAAAGTATTTTGATTTATTTGAAAATAATTGAAAATAGATTTTTCAAGGACGGTGTCGAGGTCACGGGGTCGGTGTCGTTTTTCGAAATTTGTTAACTTAATATAATAGAAGATGTTTCGTTTTAAATTAAGAAATGTTAAAATTATTAAGTTAAAAACATTTGATTTTAATGACACTTAAAATTAAATACAATATTATAGGTTACTAACTAAAATTTGAAAAAACAACAATAAATAATAAAAAATTGAAAAAATTAAAAAATTCTTTAAAAATTGCAAAATAACCCTTTTTCGGGTTAAAATTGCAAAAAGATGTTACATAAAAATAGTTTGTAAGATTTTCTAACAGCATATATGCAAAGTATTTTGATTTATTTGAAAATAATTGAAAATAGATTTTTCAAGGACGGTGTCGAGGTCACGGGGTCGGTGTCGTTTTTCGAAATTTGTTAACTTAATATAATAGAAGATGTTTCGTTTTAAATTAAGAAATGTTAAAATTATTAAGTTAAAAACATTTGATTTTAATGACACCTAAAAGAAGACACAATATTATAGGTTACTAACTAAAAATTGAAAAAACTACAATAAATAATAAAAAATAATAATAAAAAATTGAAAAAATCAAAAAATTCTTAAAAAATTGCAAAATAACCCTTTTTCGGGTTAAAATTGCAAAAAGATGTTACATAAAAATAGTTTGTAAGATTTTCTAACAGCATATATGCAAAGTATTTTGATTTATTTGAAAATAATTGAAAATAGATTTTTCAAGGACGGTGTCGAGGTCACGGGGTCGGTGTCGTTTTTCGAAATTTGTTAACTTAATATAATAGAAGATGTTTCATTTTAAATTAAGAAATGATAAAATTATTAAGTTAAAAACATTTGATTTTAATGACACTTAAAATTAGACACAATATCATAGGTTACTAACTAAAAATTGAAAAAACAACAATAAATAATAAAAAATAATAATAAAAAATTGAAAAAATCAAAAAATTCTAAAAAAATTGCAAAATAACCCTTTTTCGGGTTAAAATTGCAAAATAACCCTTTTTCGGGTTAAAATTGAAAAAAGATGTTACATAAAAATAGTTTGTAAGATTTTCTAACAGCATATATGCAAAGTATTTTGATTTATTTGGAAATAATTGAAAATAAATTTTTCAAGGACGGTGTCGAGGTCACGGGGTCGGTGTCGTTTTTCGAAATTTGTTAACTTAATATAATAGAAGATGTTTCGTTTTAAATTAAGAAATGTTAAAATTATTAAGTTAAAAACATTTGATTTTAATGACACTTAAAATTAGACACAATATTATAGGTTACTAACTAAAAATTGAAAAAACTACAATAAATAATAAAAAATAATAATAAAAAATTGAAAAAATCAAAAAATTCTTAAAAAATTGCAAAATAACCCTTTTTCGGGTTAAAATTGCAAAAAGATGTTACATAAAAATAGTTTGTAAGATTTTCTAACAGCATATATGCAAAGTATTTTGATTTATTTGAAAATAATTGAAAATAGATTTTTCAAGGACGGTGTCGAGGTCACGGGGTCGGTGTCGTTTTTCGAAATTTGTTAACTTAATATAATAGAAGATGTTTCGTTTTAAATTAAGAAATGTTAAAATTATTAAGTTAAAAACATTTGATTTTAATGACACTTAAAATAAGACAC